TGATAGTTTTTCAGCATCAAACTTAATGCAGAAATATACTGGATTACTGAAAGTTCAATTACTACTGGCCAAGCTAATACTTGCATGATAGGTTTCTCACCTTTTTCTGTTAATTAGTGATATAACAGATAAAAAATAGGCAATGTGGTCTAACATATAAAAACCTAGCAATTAATCAGTGATCATGTCGGTCATTACTGTGTGGTTTTCTCTGTTCTGGTCCACTAATACATGAACAGCTATAGTTCCTGACCACCAAAGAAATCTCCATATTGCGGCTTGCTCTAATTCCACCACTTGTCTTAAACCTTCATCAACCAGCACCTTCCTTGATACTACTTCCTGATATATGTAGAAAGTTTGCATCAGATTTAGAAGTGAAAAGGCACATAATCATAAAGCTTAAGAGAAGAGAGAGATAGAAGAGATATAAAAGGGAAAAAACTTTACTGCGGTCAGTACTACTTTCGTTGAACAGATTGTGGTGAGATGAGGTTTTCCAACATCTTAATGAGATATCTTACCTTGATATTCTTGAAGACTCTTTTATTTTCAGGATCAGTTACAATGTCATACACAGTTTCGGGGGGCAGTCCAACATTAACTTTCACACTTAGGTTGCAGAGAGAACCTTTGGGTACACTTACCTGCAAGGATTTAACTTCACATTACCTTCTCAAAAAAATAAAAATCTTAAGGCCTCATAAGACGATCAAACATCACAACTAAGCTCTACAATGTACAACACATGTGGTGGTCACGTCTCTGAATATCTGACCTCTTCGAACAAATATACAACAAGAACAACTACGATCATTCCCATGCAAGTTGGAGTTGGCTTAGGATTACTCACTGACCATATCACTTCATTTCAGCTCATCTCAGTCCAATATTATACATAAAAAATTTAAACGAAAAACTAAAAAAACGTAAAAACGTTAACCTTCCTACTACTCTACCTAACTTACTACCAACTAACTTTACCTTTTTTTAAACCCTTTTTAAACGTTTACCGTTAAAAACCGAAAAAACGTAAAGTAGTAAACTAACTTTACTTTACTTAATTAAAGTTAAAAACG